AGCTGGAGAAAACGAGCTATGAAGCTATCTATTGAAGTAGTTGCATAGGGTGGATTCGAGGGTTCTAGACCCAAAAAGAATCTTTATACCTAGAAATTGAAAATGGCAAACTCCTCTGAGCAGCAGAAGTTATAAGGGCGAAACTGAGAGTCGTGGAGAAATAAGCGAAACGCTTGACATGGTCAGACCATTTCTACTATATACAGTAACTTATTTATGTCAAAGCTTCTAATTAATTGTAGAAATCAGAAATAAATCAGCAAATGGTATTTTGAGTTTCAAAGTTTACATGTATTTTTCAAATCCCAATAGTTGCCTCAAATCCCTCAATGTAATTTTATTGTCACTGTTGGACAGCAAATTTCTTTTAATACAACAACAACAACAACAACAACCAGAACAAAGTTGCTGGAAAAGCTCAGCAGGCCTGGCAGCATCTGTGAAGGAAAAAACAGTTAATGTTTCGGGTCCGATGACCCTTCGTCCAGTTCTGAGGAAGTGTTACCGGACCCAAAGAATAAAGAAAATTACAGCACAGGAACAGGCCCTTCGGCCCTCCGAGCCTGCGCCGATCCAGATCCTCTATCCAAACCTGTCGCCTATTTTCCAAGGATCTGTATCCCTCTGCTCCCTGCCCATTCATGTATCTGTCTAGATACATCTCAAATGACAGTATCGTGCCCGCCTCTACCACCTCTGCTGGCAACGTGTTCCAGGCACCCACCACCTTCTGCGTAAAGAACTTTCCACGCATATCTCCCTTAAACTTTTCCCCTCTCACCTTGAAATAATGACCCCTAGTAATTGAGTCCCCCTCTCTGGGGGAAAAAGCTTCTTGCTAGCCACCCTGTCTCTTCCTCCCATGATTTTGTAAACCTCAATCAGGACCCCCTCAACCTCCATCTTTCTAATGTAAATAATCCTAATCTACTCAACCTCTCTTCATGGCTAGCACCCTCCATACCTGGCAACATCCTGGTGAACCTCTGCGCTCTCTCCAAAGCATCCACAACCTTTTGGTAATGTGGTGACCAGAACTGTACGCAGTATTCCAAATGTGGTGGAACCAAAGTCCTATACAACTGTAACATGACCTGCCAACTCTTGTACTCAATACCCCGTCCGATGAATGAAAGCATGCCGTATGCTTTCTTGACCACTGTATCGACCTGCGTTGCCACCTTCAGGGTACAATGGACCTGAACACCTAGATCTCTCTGTGCATCAATTTTCCCCAGGGCTTTTCCATTTACCGTATAGTTCGCTCTTGAATTGGATCTTCCAAAATGCATCAACTCGCGTTCGCCTGGATTGAACTCCATCTGTCACTTCTCCGCCCAACTCTCCAATCTATCTATATTCTGCTGCATTCTCCAACAGTCCCCTTCACTATCTGCTACTCCACCAATCTTAGTGTCATCTGCAAAATTGCTTATCAGACCATCTATACCTTCCTCCAGATCATTTATGTATAACACAAACAACAGTGGTCCCAACACGGATCCCTGTGGAACACCACTGGTCACAGTTCACCATTTTGAGAAACTCCCTTCCACTACAACACTCTGTCTCCTGTTGCCCAGCCAGTTCTCTATCCCTCTAGCTAGTACACCCTGGACTCCATGCGACTTCACTTTCTCTATCAGCCTACCATGGGGAACCTTATCAAAAGTCCATGTATATGACTTCTACAGCCTTTCCCTTATCTATCAACTTTGTCACTTTCTCGAAAAATTCTATCGAGTTGGTAAGACATGACCTTCCCTGCACAAAACCATGCTGCCTATCACTAATAAGCCCATTTTCTTCCAAATGTAAATAGATCCTATCCCTCAGAATCTTCTCCAGCAGCTTCCCCACCACTGACGTCAGGCTCACCAGTCTATAATTACCTGGATTATCCTTGCTACCCTTCCTAAACAACGGGACAACATTAGCAATTCTCCGGTCCTCCGGGACCTCACCCATGCTCAAGGATGCTGCAAAGATATCTGTTAAGGCCCCAGCTATTTCTTCTCTTGCTTCCCTCGGTAACCTGGGATAGATTCTATCCGGACCTGGCGACTTGTCCACCCTAATACCTTTTAGAATACCCAACACTTCTCACCTGCCCCCCCCC